AGCTATAATCTCCAACTATTCAAATGTAATGTCAATCGACATCTCCAGAAGTTTTGATCTATTCCCTGTCCTATTCTTCATTCCTTTCCTCTATCCCACCCTCTTTAATCTCGTCCCAATCTATATCACCCCTTGCATGTTAGTGGCACCGCGCTCCTTGCTGGGGGTTAAATGCTTAAAAAAAAATTCTCTCCCACAAATTGGACTGAATAACGCCACTGGCGGACAATCAGACTGTCATTATAAACTTCCGTTGCTGTAATTTCGGTTTTGGAAAATTTGGGGGTCTTTCGTCAAGATGAAGTCATTAAGTTGATCCTTTACGATTGGCATAAAGGATCCATTTCTCATCACAAGTCAGGATTCGATTAAGAAATGGACTATTAGAATTTAACAAATGCAGCATCGAACATACTTATTGACTTTTAATGAGTTCACATGGCACCCATATATTGAGTTTCTTTACTTTGCTAATTTCCTTGAGATGGTTCGATATTGTTAAAAGGCTGACACCCATAATCTTTGACATTCGTTTTGTTCGACTAGTATGTCCAAATATTGATTGTCATTCGCAGAATGGGCGTCCTCTACCACATTGATCTCCAAGACTCGTATCTCAACTGCGGGACTTCAGAACAAGGCGCCTTACTGCCCGATTAAAAGGGGATCCTTCATCCAGTGCTTTATAATATTGGCAGCAGTTTGAGATGCATTATGATCAAGTTTGGGATCATAAAAAGAAAGTAAATGGATCTCTTCTTTTTTTCCATGTTCAAGATGAGGGGTAGATAATGTTTGAAGTTAAATTCTGAAAGAAAGTCATATAAATTAACAAAGCGGACTTTTTAATCCCTACGAATGACTAATATATTTTTGCGCAAATATTATAACATATTAGAACTAAAAAAAAAAAAAACAAAATAAAAAAAAAAAAACGTTGATTCTAAAATCTGACATTATTTTACAAACAACCTAATACTAGTTTCCGTTAAATAGAAAGGGTGCGTCATATATTTGAGAACCAAATCCTAAAGGCGATTAATATAAAATTAACAAAGACGACATTGTTAATCTTAGGAATGAGTAATTTATGTTTGCACAACTACTGTAGAACACAATTAAAAGGTTGATTCAGAAATCGAATATTATTTTACGAACAACCTAATACACAGGGTGCATCATATATTTGAGAACCAAAATATAAAGGCGATTGATATAAAATTAGCAAAAAGGATATTTTCTTCGTTCGGAATGAGTAATATATGTTTGGGCAACTATTAGAACATATTAGAACTCAATTAAAAACGTTGATTCTAAAATCGGACATTATTTTACGAACAGCCTAATGTTGAAAAGACAGCGGCTGTCATAGCTTTTTATATTTATGACTAAGCGGAAAGAATCGGTTGTTAAGCGATATCAAGAATTGAGTAAAGATCTATTTAATGATTTAAGCTGAAGACGTTGTCACTTATACAATGTAGAAGTCAGGATGTTATGACTTCATTAACAAGAAACTTTTTGCCTCATTAACTGATGCATCTGGATTATCAGGAAATAAATGGTATCCAATGATGCCGAGAACAGTTCATTAAAATCTTCTACTCATAGAAAACAATTTCTGTCTGAATTTCTGGGATGAGGAGTTATTAATTACACTCGGGTCTTCATCAGGTGTATATCGATCAGGGTAACCTATGTAGAATTCTGAACTGAATCCATTATTTAATGGACGGGGGTAAACTGTTCCCAATTCACTGCCCATATCTAGTATCTGTCTATATTTCTGAAATGAGGTATTATGTACACTTTTTACATTATTCGGACTATTGTCCTCATCTTTGTCGCCATATTTATTACAACGTTTCGGCCTTTCAGTATCTGTCTATATTTCTGAGATGAGGTATTATGTACACTTTTTACATTATTCGGACTATTGTCCTCATCTTTGTCGCCATATTTATTACAACGTTTCGGCCTTTCAGTATCTGTCTATATTTCTGAGATGAGGTATTATTTACACTTTTTACATTATTCGGACTATTGTCCTCATCTTTGTCGCCATATTCATTAAAAAACGTTTCCATGTAAATTTATGTTTCAGTATCTGTCTATATTTCTGAGATGAGGTATTATGTAGACTATTTACATTATTCGGACTATTGTCCTCATTTTTGTTGCAATATTTATCACACGGTTTCGGCCATTGTAAGCTCCGGGCTTCTTCAGTATCTGTCTGTATTTCTGAGATGAGGTAGTATGCACACTATTTAAATTATTCGGACTATTGTCATCATCTTTGTTGCCATATTTAGCACAACGTTTCGGCCGTTGTTTGCTCCGGCCTTCTTCAGTACCTGTCTATATTTCTGAGATGAGGTATTATGTAGACTATTTACATTATTCGGACTATTGTCATCATCTTTTTGCCATATTTATCACAACGTTTCGATTCAGCCTTCTTCAGGTGGTTAGAATATCGAAATGAAACCATTATTTCGCTCGCTGGGGTAGACTGTTCTAGCTCCACGTGTCATGTTTAATAGATGTCAGTTATCAGTTATCTCCTGTTAATCCCCCTCTCCAAGTTCTCCACAGGTATTGAAATTACATACTTTGGGACTTTGGGCACAGGGGATAAAGGCGTTAGTTAGATCCAGTGAGGGGACCCGAAGAGTGTGAATTCAGTACCTGGTTAAGGCGGTGGAGAACTTTAAAAAATAAAAATAAAAAAAATATCATAAAATAATTGTAGGACTGTGTCCATTTCATAATATGCTACGTCATTTGTTTACATTTGGATACGCATCGAGAATTGTAGTTTAAAGACAGTAAAATCGACCGTGCTAACCGAAACGCTCCTCTGTGGCTAAATCGGTAAAGCACGTCAGGCTGGATGACGGTTCCGTATAGGATACAGTTTCGATTCCTGTCGGAGGACGCATATTTTCTATGAAAATATCTCGGACATTCAGGCCGGTAAATGTCGTTAATACTGTTTATTATAAACAGAGCATTTACTTAAATATTTGTATCTATAAAAAAGAATGTATAAACATAAAAAGATCTTAATATATATATATATATATATATATATATATATATATATATATAATTAATTCAACTTGAAGATATTTCTGTAGCTAGCCGCCTACATATCATGTGAGATAATAGACGTCACATATTTCTACATTTGGTAGTACCTGGGCGGTAATTATTCGAGAGAGTCGGCAGTTGAATGACGTTAGTAATAGAATTCTATTTAAAGTGTCAAGTCTCGTTCACTGTGAGTGACATATATTGGAAGACAGCAGTTACGGTCCAGGAGGTTCTTTTATTACAGTATTAATTACAAATACGTTTATAGGGATCAAGTGTTGTTCACTTCATGCCAAATAACGTTTCATTACAACCTACACCACCTATATAACAAATAGCGACAGAAAGAAGTAAAAAACGTATATATAAAATAATACAAACTATTTTGAGAAGAAGCAAATATCACTAATTAAATAACCCATATTTCGGATAAGTTTGACGAATTTGAGAGCTTGTGAAAACAGATTTGAATATCTACAGTAGTTGATGTTATTCTCTTTATATGTGCCGTGTCCCTTCAGGACGTGGATTATTATGACGCTCCATAACTTTGTCTTTTTTTTGTTCCTCTAAGTAACTTTTAACACTACACTCTTGGTTCTTGCTCTTCCTTTTTTTTTTAATAAAAATCTTTAAGTAGCTAACTATCATGTGTCCCAGAAAATTCAAAATTCTTTAATTCATTGTACCGTCCTGGATCTGACGATAAACTACGTCCGAAAGCAAGGCCTCTGATCGGGACATTGGGGGTTTTGAGGAGCGTGGAGCCACCTATTAACTGTTGTTGTTCGCAGGTTCACACTGACCTGGGGTGGCAGCACCTGTTAGGGTCCTAGATATAAGCAAATAGCAAAATGACATCACCCCATCAGCCTCCTTAGTGCCAATAGCAAACTTTTTGAAGCTATCGTAAACAAGAAGTATTGAACATCTGTCTGCATTTATGAGGTGAGGTATTTAACGATTTACACTAATTACATTGTTCAGGCTGTTGTCCTCATCTTCGTTGCCATATTCACGACGTTTAGATCGTTGTACGCTACGGCCTTCTTCTATATCTGTCTATATTTCTGAGATGAGGTATTGTAATTATTTACACTATTTACATTATTCGGACTGTTGTCTTCATCTTCATTGCCATATTCACGATGTTTAGACCGTTGTATGCTCCGGCCTTCTTCTATATCTGTTTATATTTCTGAGATGAGGTATTGTAATTATTTACATTGTTCGGACTGTTGTCCTCATCTTTATTGCCATATTCACAACGTTTTGGCCGTTGTATGCTCCGGCTTTCTTCAGGATCTGCCCATATTCCTGAGATGAGGTATTGCAACTACTCTATTTACATTTTTCGGACATGTCGGCCGTTGTACGCTCCGGCTTCTTGTTGTTTGAATTTCGAACCAAACCTAGAATAGTCGTTCTGTATGTTGGTGTTTCTGAAGATTGGTTCAAGATGTAGATATGGACAAAGAGTTGGTAGGAGGAGAGAATTGAAAGGAAGAAAAGCTGTCCAAAATGTTACCTACTTAGACCGCGCAAATGAAGCCGTGCAAATGAAGCCATGAATTAAATATACAAGTTCGGAAAGAGGGTTCTTATTTCTCACCAGCAATCGGAAAGCAGTGAGAATAGAGATGCGTCTTAGAGTAGTCTGTTGAAAACTGGCGGCGGCCCGGGTGGTTGTGGGTTGAAGGCTCTCTGGTATGTTTACACACTTCTACAGTGAAAACTGGTTCTCTAATGACCATTTGAAAGCAGATAAATAAAGACATGAAAGACAATGAAGATCAAATTTAGAATCACAAGCGAGTAACGCTGGAGTTAATGGATCCAAGAAGATTGAATTCAAAGGACTAGATTTAACTAAAAAATTGAAGAATATGGATTTTGTCAGAATGAAAGAGAACTGCCGCGACCGCCATGTTAGTAAAGAGTTTTCTCATCGTTCAGAAAAGAAAAAAAAAGATAGGAGGGGAATAATTACCAAAGGACTTTCTCTTCAGACACTATCTGTCTATCTATCTATCTCCTATTCATATCTATCTATCTATCTATCTATCTATCTATCTATCTATGTTTCTCCTATTCATATCTATCTATCTATCTATCTATCTATCTATCTATCTATCTATCTATCCTATTCATATTCATCTATCTATCTATCTATCTATCTATCTATCTATCTATCTCCTATTCATATCTATCTATCTATCTATCTATCTATCTAACTATCCTATTCATATCTATTTCCTATTCATATCTATCTATCTATCTATCTATCTATCTATCTATCTATCTATCTATCTATATCTATCTATCTATCTATCTATCTATCTATCTCTAATTTTTTTTATATATATCTCAGATGTTTGTCTCTATCTATCTCTCTGTTTATATCTTTATTCACCTGTTAATCTATCTTTCTTTCTTTCTTTCTTTCCTTTCTTTTTTTTTTCTTTCCATCTATCTATTCATCTATCTATTTATCTCCAGGATCTCATATCTATCTATCTATCTATCTATCTATCTATCTATCTATCTATCTATCCTATCATATATCTATTTCCTTTTGAGGCTTATATCTATCATATCTATCTATCTATCTATCTATCTATCTATCTTTCTATCTATTCATCTATCTATCTATTTATCTATCTATCTATCTATCTATCTATCTATGTTTCTCCTATTCATATCTATCTATCTATCTATCTATCTATCTATCTATCCTATTCATATCTATTTCCTATTCATATCTATCTATCTATCTATCTATCTATCTATCTATCTATCTATCTATCTATCTATCTCTGCCGTGTTTTTTCTCTATATATATCTCACCCTGTTTGTCTCGCTCTCTGTTTATATCTTTATTCACCTGTTAATCTATCTTTCTTTCTTTCTTTCTTTCTTTCTTTTTTCTTTCCATCTATCTATTCATCTATCTATTTATCTCACTTTGCTCATATCTATCTATCTATCTATCTATCTATCTATCTATCTAGCGGAGATCGTAGGTTTAATTATAGCATCCGCCAGTTTCCGTAGACCATGGATGTGCCACTGGAGAGGGGTTTTGTTTTTTTAAAAGGATTCTACTGATAATGGTAGCGAAACATCTATTTTACCAATTCACTGGAGGTTCTGGCGATGATCAAGATTGCTCTCTTGGACACAACAGTGAGCAAGACTCTTTCTATAATCGAACGTGTGCCAATTCAGCCCGCCTCTCCTGTCTACGCCACATATTATACGAACGAAGCTCAGAGGCCGACATTGCTTGGCACAATTGTTATCGGAGGAGTTGTCAGAAAAGTTGGATGCAATGTCACGCGGCCTTTAAGACTCTGACCTCCATATTTAAATCACAGGGCTAAAGCCTTTCATGTGATCTAAAATGGCTGCATGATAACAAAGGTTTGAAATCAGAATTTGCATTTTCTGAAAAGGCGTAAGGCAAGGATGCGTCTTCTCACCAGACCTGTTCAACCTAAACAGCAAGGCAGTTCTGGTAGAATTGGAAACCCTACCGGAATTTAGTATTGGTGGTCACAACCTTAACAACATAAGATACGCAGACGACATAGTGCTGATAGCAGACATGGAAAAGAAATTACAAAATCTCCTACAGAAGGTAGCGACGGGGAGTGAGAAGAAAGGACTAAGCATAAACTACAAGAAGACAGAATGCATTGTCATCAGTAAGAGAAAGAGCCCGAAATGCGATCTGAAGGTCATGAACACTAGAATCAAGTTTTTACGCGGAAGTTTAAATACCTGGGAAGGTCTTGACAGAGGGCGGTAAGTGCGACACTGAGATCTCAAAAGAATGCGTATTGGATCTTTTTTAAGGACACATTCCAAAAGCTGAACATAGTATTGCGAAACTGGAGGATTTCTTTGGTAAGAAAGAAAAGAATACTGAGATGTTACATGGCATCTGTTCTTCTTTACGTTAGTCCTATTAACACAACATAGAATTTGAAATCTGTTAAAACTGACACAGAAAAGAGCGCTCTATGTTTATTTTCATTAAACAGAGCAAATTTGCTTTACAATTGGAATTAAGATACCTTTAGTTAATGACCTTTTGCACCTAAGAATTTTAATTTTGAAATTCGCAGGATTTTTAAAACTGTTTATGGTATCAGTTTGTAGTGAGATACTGTTCCCCCCACTAACTAACCAGTTTTCCCACTACAAACTGAAATCATAAACAGTTTGAAAAATCTTGCGAATTTTAATTTGATAGCAGACACGGAAAAGAAATTACAATATCTCCTACAGAAGGTAGCGACGGAGAGGGAGAGGAAAGGACTAAGCATAAAATACAAGACAGAGTTGCATGATCATCAGTAAGAGGAAGAAATGCAATTTACAAGCCGGAAACACTAGAATCAATCAGTCGCAGAAGTTTAAATATCTGGGAAGCGTCTTGACAGAAGACAGTAAGACACTGAGATCCGTAGACGTATTGGGATGGCCAATGACACATTCTAAAAGCTGAGGAGAGTGTTCCCATCCAAGTCTATAGAAACCGGTTTGTTCTCCTATTTACCCATAGCTAGGGAGAGAAGAAGAGGATTCATATATTTACCAAGTGTCAGTTAGTTATGTGCCATGCGTGATACACACGTAGGCGATCATGTATCTTTCGATACATGTCAGGTGAGGCAGATTTTTCCCGCAGTAGGTTGCCATTTCTTTCTGCGGTACACCAGTTGCCATCCAATGCTAGAGACCCCGGTATGTCCTGTTATTTACCCATAGCTGGGGGGGAAGAAGAAGAGGATTCATACTCTTCCAAAGGGTATTAGCACGTAAGTGAATGGATTCAAATGGGATTCGAACTTGGCTCTCCGATTCCTCAATCCAAGCCGGTATCTATAAGTCCTCCGTGTACAGCATTATATTGTGAACTGTTTCAATTTGAAATAATTGCATCGGAAGCAGTTTTTAGCCTACCGCGATCCATGGCAAAAGCAAGTGCCGATGCAGCTCAGGATTTAAGATAGCTAAAACTGTTTTGAAACTGTTGTATTAGACGACCCCTTCTTTTTTTAGGCTATTTTTGGAAGATTTAATGGTCGCCTTATATGCGGAAATATGTACTATGTCATGTTCCAAAAATGCCACGATATAGCCAAGAAAAAAATTCTCTATGATATTGACAACATTGAGACAGTCGAAACTACTCGAAAAAAAACAGAACAAAACACTGATCTTTGGACAATTTAAAATTAATCAATAAGCACTTTGGACAATTTACCCGTTATTTTGATTCGGATGGAAAACAGCGCGTTTGAAAACTGCACACACGTCAGTTGAACATTATACATAGAATTTGAACGAATTCTAAATGTACACCACACACACATATATATATATATATATATATATATATATATATATATATATATATATATATATATATATATATATATATATATATATATGTAAATGGATATAGATCCGATAAATGAATAAAAAAATTGGAAAAAACAAACAAAAATCCTTAAATGCAATTATATTGTTTAAAATGAATGAAATGTCGACGTCTGTCGTTTCGGTTTAATAAACCTTTTTCAAGACAATATTCATTAAAACTGAATTGTATTTTAATGAATATTGTCTTGAAAAAGGTTTATTAAACCAAAACGTAGACATTTCATTCATTTTAAACAACATAATTGCATTTAAGGATTTTTGTTTGTTTTTCCAAATTTTCCTCATATATGTATATATATATTTTTCCAAGCGTAGCACAATATGGCACAATGCCGATTCGTATGGGGCACCCAGTGAGGATCGAACTCACTACTCAGTCGTAATTGTTCTAGTGAGACAAGCTTGCTAACCATTACACTACCTCGCGTTGCCAACATATATACTTTGTCCATTTCATAATATATATATTAAAGTCCGACAATTATTTTAAGACATTTTTATGTTTATACATTCTTTTTATAGATACAAATATTTAATTAAAAGCTCTGTTTATAATAAACAGTATTATACAACATTTACCGGCCTGAATGTCCGAGCAATTTTCATGGAAAATATTCGTCCTCCAACAAGATTCGAACCTGAATCCTATGCGGAACCATCATTTAGCTTGACGTGCCTTGAACGATTCGGCTACAGAGGAGCGTTAATCGTATTACCCTTTGTATTGCTAATGATGGAGGACATGTGGAAACTTAAATAAAATTTCAATAAAAAAATATTAATATTAAGAAATATAGATTTACTTCTTTCTAATCCTTTTCCCAAAATATTTCTATCGCAAATACAAATAAAGTTATAAATTTTTAAAGTGCACACGAACATTATGGACACCCAGTGTATATATATATATATATATATATATATATATATATATATATATATATATATATATATGATGGACTTCCGTCGTATTCGACGTTTATGAGTGACAAGCAGCTCAGTTACTAAGAACTGACAGCCCAGACACATGATTTGATTATAGTAGTGCAGGCTTTGTGCAGAATCAACTACACTTTTTGAAGGGCCAAATACAGAGACCTGGTGCGCTACAAGGTCCCCAAACGGGCCTCCGCAGGTTTTGACTTCAAAGCTGTCTTTTTCCTAGACCAGTTACCATCCAAGGCTCTAGAACACTGTCTGTCCTTATATATATATATATATATATATATATATATATATATATATAGTACAGGTAATCGATCCGTTGGTATATAATCCGGGTGGATCCTAGTAATATTAGTTAGTACAACTGATCCATAGAGAAATTGATGTATTGATTATAACAGAGCGTATGTATTTTTTACAGCAAAAAAAACAAAAATTACCTCAGCATAGAAGAAATTTCAATTTAAAGCCATTCTGTAAGCGGCTATCATCAGCCCCCTAGGCCATTACGGAAAAATCTTCCAAATGTTGAAATTTTTGTTTTTTTTGTTAATATATATATATATATATATATATATATATATATATATATATATATATATATATAAAATATATATATATATATATATATATATATATATATATATATATTCGTATACGTTTATCACCAGATGTGTTTTATAATTATATTCTTACATAGGTAAATATATTAACAGTCTAGATTGTTAAGAACGTTTCTAGATTGAATGAGACAATTTATTTACCATAAAAGATTATCTGTCTATATTTCTGAGATGAGGTATTATGTACACTATTTACATTATTTGAACTATTGTCACTGTATCTAACCAACGCCTTTATCCGCTCTGCCATATGTCCTTGAGGACAACACCCAAAGAGTTTGAGTTCAATACCCTGTTAAAGCAATGGAGAACTTTCAGAGGGAAATTAGCAGGAGGTAACCGATAACTAACATCCATCAAACATGGTTCGTGGAACTAGAAGAGTCTACTCCAATAAGCGAAATAAATGGTTAAGTTCGACATTCCAACCACCTGAAGAAGGCCGGAGCGTACAACCGACGAAACGTTGTAATAAATATGGCGACAAAGATGAGGACAATAGTCCGAATAATGTAAATAATGTATAAAAGATTATGTCTGTTGTAAGAACAAAACGGAAGGAGGTTAGACTGAATGGAAATGGTTAGGAGAAGTTAGATATCAAGAAGTCAGCAAGCTGTTGGCCGTGGCGTGACATAATTTCTAATTGACATGCTTTTATAGACGCACACGCATGTTTGTGGCGAGGGCTTTAAACCCGATTCCTCTTCTTAATCCAGACGCAGACAAGCATTGTCTATTCGTTCCACTTCCAAAAAATAATTCATTGCTTTATCTTCTCTTTTTAAATCAGTGGCTATTTACTTTTCCAGCTTGTTGAATAATAAACAAGCATTTGTTTGGGAAAAAAGAGTTGTGTTTTACACTGAATTATTCGAAAGCACGTAAAAAAATATATAGAAGCAAGACATGAGTGAGTTAGCAGACATTACATTTATATATATAGAATCACGATCACATTCATTCGTGATTACGATTCCAATGTAATAAATTATAACTATGGAATATTAATGTTTGAGCCTTTTATATTATATTCTTACTCTGTCCTGGACATTGAGTTCTACCTGGATTCTATCCTCTTGTAAATTTATATATATATATATATATATATAATTTCTAAAGAATTAATGTATATATATATATATATATATATATATATATATATATATATATATATATAATATATATTATATAATATTTGTTCAGAAATAATTTTTTCCAAATTGTCAAAAAAATAAAATGTATTATATCTCAATTTAAAATGTGTTTTACAAAATCATATAATTGTGAAACAGGTTTAGTTATTCTAAATATATATTCTTAAATACTTCAGTTGGATTTTCCACTTCTTTTTCCTATATATTTTTACCTAAAATTCGATATATAAAAAAACATTACTTTCTCTCTAATTCTCTCTCTCTATATATATATATATATATATATATATATATATATATATATATATATATATATATATATATATATATATATATATATATATATATATATATATATATATATATATATGTGTGTGTGTGTGTGTGTGTGTGTTTACAAATTTTCGTATACCTCTATAGAACAGTTTGAAGAAAAATTCAAAAAAAACTGCTGGTAGTCCAAACTTCTCATCACCAGAATATTAATGATGGCGGCCAACAGCTGTATCGTTTGCTCGGACCATCATGACAATGTAATCAGGTGCCTTAATGATGGAGGTATCTTATGATCATGCCGGGCCGTTCTTTTTGCGTGATTATATGTCCGACAAATAGCCGGAAAATGGGCATATGATTGTATAAAGAGGAAATCCGTCCGATTAAATATTTATTCATGTAGACACTCTCTGCACAAGACTCACCCCAACTGGTAATTGAATAAGTGGAAGAAGAGGTCGAATGGAGAAGATGTTCCGTTGCTATCTATAAGTTGAGCAATAATCAATTTGGATGGAAAATTCTAAAGATTGTTTTGATTGAATTGTTTTTAAAACAGTTCCGAATCAAATTAAATTTACTATAACCCTTTTTATAACGAACTACTCATTATATTCAAAATATATATATATATATATATATATATATATATAATTGATTTAAAAAATATGATTCTTTCAAAACATAACAAGTTGAAAAATTCTCATGTTTCAAAAAAAAAGCCAAAACTTCAATAAAATATTAAAATTAAATTGAATTAATGTTTGTTCTGTTTCATCCTCAATCGAAAGATTTAGAAAATTTCCCTTGAGGATGAAAAAAAAACTTGATAGTTTTTGGATCAATTTAATTTTAATATTTATAATGAAGTTTTTTGATCCTTTTTTCGAAACATGAGAACTCATATATATAAGGAATCATATTTTTAAAAAAAAATGATTATAATAATAATTTAGGCTCTACTTTTGTATTGAACTGTTTTTTTAAAAAAAATAAAATATAATAAAGAACTTGGGATTATTTACCTAACGTAATTACTTTCTTATTTTTTACATATTTGCACACACACACACACACACACACACACACACATATTCCTATATATATATATATATATATATTTATATAGTTAAACCTAGAGAAAGACAAACCTGAAAGGTTTCACCTAAGCCCGATATCGTCAGGGAAAGCCTAAAAAATGACGTATCGCTTACGGTGAAACCTTTTTTTATTTGTCTGACTCTTTTAGGTTTAACTAGGTTTGCTCTACTTATTGTATTGAGCACTTTATTTAGTTATTTTGCCAACTAGTATCGTTTTTTTTTCCTTTGGGCTTTGAACTTGTATGCTAGACGGTTATTTTCGGCTGACGTACATGTTCTTGGTTTTTTTCTTTTTTTATACCTTTTTTTCCCTTTGGTATTGGTTTGATTATTTGCAAATCAGGACACCGAAGGTTTTCCGAACAGTATAGTTTCTTATACTTATAAGATTTCTATTAATAATAATAATAAAATATATAATTTATATATTATTCAATTTATTTGATATATCTGGAGGGTAGCATCAGATGTGCAGATAAAGAAAATACTAGCTTCTACCAGAAGATTAATGGAATAGAATTTATATATATATATATATATATATATATATATATATATATATAGTGAAATATCTTAAAGAAAAACAGATCACTTTAAGGTTCCATTATAATCATTTATTTCATGAGAGCCCTTTTAACGGACGCCGGATCATCAGATAAACTTATCTATATAAGGTTCAAATATGTTTAATGCTCGACACCAGCACATGGGATTTGATTATAGTTTACAAAAAACTTTGTTCAGAACCATCCACACTTTTTGAAGGGCCGAATATATGAGACCTGTTATTTATATATATATCTATATATATATATATATATATATATATATATATATAGTATTATGAGTGCATGACGATGAACTTCATCCGGCAGCCATATCTCTGATCGCTAGACTGGAGGTGCGGAAGAAATTTTTTCAGTTTTTTAATTGATGTTGTTCCCAGATCCACCCTAACCTGCTAAGGGCAAATAATTTCTATTCTAACATATGATCAAAATCAGAACACTATGAACGTATAAAAATGCATTTTTTTTTAGTAAAAAATTCACGCGCTTAATTTTATATAAAAAATTATCAACAATACTTATATATGAAATACGGTGGAGTAATGGATAGCGACTTGGGTTGAGGAATCGAGAAAATTGCATTATTTGATTATTACCCTGAGAAAATGAATTTTCTTCTCTCTCCATTGGGAAAATAGAAAGAGCACATAAAAGCCTTGGATGACAATTTTTAATCAAATAACAACTCTGAATTCAAAACCTATAGATGGTTGTTTGGGGACCTTGTTAAAGAAATATTGCACTAGGTCTCTGTGTTTGACTTCTATGTTTTTCCACGAAACTTTTTTATTTTTCTGTAACATTAAAATAAATCAATAAAATAAAACTATAGGACAAATTTAGCCATCGCATTCGTTTGCTTTAAATTTTTCGGTTTTGAACTTGTTTATTACGTTAGTAAAAATTTAGCGATTGGTCAAATTTTAACCAATCACATATTTTAGTGGTAAATCAACTTTTCCTGCATTTTCTCTCGTCTTTTGCCTATCTGTAGCTTAAAAAAGAGGCAACTTTTTCACAAGCCGTCAAATTTCAACTGTCAACACAAACCTATGACTTTACTCACAGCATATCAAACGCACACAGAGACACAGCATTTTGTAATATATATATATATATATATATATATATATATATATATATATATATAACAAAAATTCACCACTATAATCAAATCTCATGTGCTGGTGTTGAGCACATGTATATATGATACTTATGTATATAATACATATCTCTCTGTGACTAAGCCAAGTTTAATCAACCAGGACTCTGTTGATTTCTCTAACACAACACACTTTCTGATCAATTGTATTCTTGTGTTATCCATTCTAACAGAAAACTTGTTCTAACATTGATTCCTGAACATTTCTTTCTCAAGAGAACTTTGTTTCGAACAATCAATTACAAATCAAAATACGGTAAAAGGGAAGCAACTTATTTTTCCTTAATCTATACATTGAATACAAATTATTGTATATTTTTCTTTTTTGTATGTTATTTCAATATATACTTGTTGATTCACATTTGGAGTTTTGTTGTTTTTTGAATCATTAATAATACAAAAAGATATATTTTCAAAAACAACACGCCCAAGTCATTTCCACTCATATCCTTCTGCCGATTTTTGAACTTATATCCTTCCCGATTCTTTTTGAAAGTCATATCCTTCTCGATTCTTTTGAACACATATCCTTCCTGATTCCTTTGGAACATATCCTTCCTGATTCTTTTGAACACATATTTTTTTTTCAATTCTTTTCAACTTTGAAATTCCCCGCAAATTTTTTAACATTTGGATATCCTTAGATTTGCAGAAACACATATTTTCCCAAATTTTTTTGAACATTTTGACCTTTACTGGACCTTTTTGAACACATATCCTTCTTTGAAGTAAAAAACAAATATTATTTAATTCCTTTGGACACATATCAATTAAAAATTTTTTTTGAATCACAGATCCTTTTTGGATTACTTTTTTAATAATATCCTTCCCAATTCTTTTGAACACACTCCATCACTTTCATCGATTCTTTTTTTACTAAGATTCCTTCCTGATTCTTTTGAACAATATCCTTCCATTTTTTTGAATAAATATTCTTCATGTCTTTTTTTGAACTCATATCCTTTCCTTTTTTTTGAACACATATCCTTTTCATTTTATATTTTTTCTTTTCGAAATAGATATCCTTCCGTTTCTTTTTTTTACATCATATCTTCTCGATTCTTTTGAACACATATCCTTCCCGATTCCTTTGGACACATATCCTTCCAATTCTTTTGAACACACATCCTTTTCAATTCTTTTGAACACATATCCTTCCCGATTCTTTTGAACACATATCCTTCTCGATTCTTTTGAAACATAATTTTAATTCCTTTGGACACATATCCTTTAAAAATCTTTTTTAATCTTTTTCTTTTGTGGTAAAATTTTGGAGTCATTATTTCTGGAAATCATTTGGGTAACATTTTGTTTCATTTCCTTTAATACATATCCTTTTTTCTTTTGAACCCCCATCATTTTCCTTAATTCAATTCAGTTTTGAACATATATTGTTCACGATTCTTTTGAACATGTATCCTTCCCAAAAAAATTTTTTTTAACAATGCATATTTTGTTAACAATTTATTTGAAACATATCCATCATTGTTTGGAAACATAAAGTTGGATTCTTTTTCCACACATATCAATCTTCGATTCTTTTGAACATATATCCTTTTTTGTTCTTTTGAACATGTATCCATAAAAATGCTTTTTTAATTCATAAAATTTCCATCAGTGTTGTGGTAGGATCCACCTAATTTGCATAGTGGAGTACCGACCATATAAATATGGTTGGTACCGGGAAGAGAGGGAGGAATCAAGAGATTCAACCAGAGACTCTGCCCGACTGCGACTCAGTCAACACATTCTCCAGGAACGGTCTTACCAGGAATATACAAAAGACTATATGTAAATATTGTGTACACTTTCTTGTTTCAATACATTTTGTTCTAAGTACATTTTGTGTTGCATTATTATCCCATGCATTAGTCAAGTTTCAACAATCAGAAATGAGACTATACTGAGTAGTAACATGCACTATGTACAATGTCGATGTTAACATATAAATCAGTGATCATTCTCCCTCTTTCTCTCTCTCGCAATTATATATGGCTACTGAGGTCAATACATCTGGTTCATTCTTTAATAAGAATGCCTATCATCACGAAGAATTATTATATTAAGAGCATCTAATGTACTGTCTTTGTTAAACTACGTAATCTTTGATATTGTAAGAAATGCATTTCGAGTAGTAATGTTTGTTTTCTTTATCTCTGACTATTGGTTCAGTATAGTCGATTTCTTTCCCTATCATTATCTTTCAAACATTTTAAACAATTGCCGATAAATTTATTCTTTTCTCCTCTTCTTATTTATTGATTGTAGTATTATCATTTTTATAGACGATGGCGTATTTTCAAATTTGTAGGAATAGCATTTCGAGTCGTAATATTATATATATATAGGTGTCAAGGTCTTGAATTATGAAGACTCTCTAAATATATATAGTGGCGCACCAGGACAGATCTGGTAGCAATATTCAGAGCAAGAACGAATGGTAGACTTATAAATATGTAAGATAAATTCTGTTTGTTAAGAATGTCCATTTTTCACATAAATTAATCATTCTTAGATGCACACCTAGCAATTGATTCTCTACACTTTTTCCATCATTTGTTCCGAGAAGGCGCAATCAGTCACTCTCTTGGAAGTTTGTATCAAGAAAAAATAATATCAATATGTTAACGTTCCAGACAACTTCGAACAATTGTTAGGAAGGAAAATAAATATCAATACAATCAAAGAAATAATTGATGCAAAAAATTGGTTAATAAAAAATAAATAATCATACTTATTATTATAAAATCCAGGTTGTGTGTGTGTGTGTGTTCGTTTATATATTGGATCGGATTTTTACATTTTCAACCGATTTCAAATAAAACTTCACAGGACTACGTAAAATTAACTTGCGATGGTTCTGACAGCGCCAAAAATTGGGAAAACACAATTGTTTTTGCACGAAATCAATTTTAAAACACGATTAAGAGGCATCACTGTCGAAGAATGAAAGGGGACAACTCATATCGAGTTATACTTATTATAAAACCCAACCCAGTGTGTGTGTGTGTGTGTGTGTTCGTTTGTATATGGGATCGGATTTCCTACATTTTTCAAACGATTTCAACAAAACTTCACTTTTTTTTTGGCAGGTAGTGTTTCTTATTGTCTTGCACACTTTTTCTTTATTTTTACATTCAGAATGCTTTAAAAATTCCATTTACAAGACAATTGTTTATAATAAAATTCTATTCAATCGGTAAATTCACAGCGATTGAAAACAATGTTTTTGTTTGAGTCTGGGTTTGACCAATTCGTAAAAAAAAAAGGACATGCGTGTCCGTCAACCTTAAACAATTATCTTTGTCAATTTTATTTTTCAGGCTTTATGATGGCCGATACTTGATCTATCTCTTACTGTTACATCCCCGGGCAACGCCGGGTTCTACTGCTAGTCATTATATAAGCGATGGTCAGGACTCAAACGGTTAATGAGAGGGGCCAATAAAAGAACAAGAATTGAGACGACAGAAGATAACACTTGACATTCCATGTAAGTTTTTTGATTTCGTCTAATGATTTTTCCCTTTTTCTTTCAGATTTAACAAAAATAGTATTTTATCAATTTCAACCATGGAAGACTAAAAATCTAACAATGTGTTAAAAAATTTATCGAAGCCTATTACGAAAATTTGGGTTCAAACAGAAATGCATTTCACGCACTTTAGCATTTTTTTTTAAAACCTAATCGAATAACCGAGAATTTAAATGGAAAAAAAAATTTTCGGAAATTTAAACTGGGTCGGTGGCAGATGTGAAAACACCATTTCGTGAAAACATTGCTGCAGTGCACGATAATGTGGCCGAAAATCCAAATATCTCTATTCTTCATCGCGTGTAAGAAGTGAACCTTTCCGAAACAACGTTACATAGAATTTTAACAAAAGATTTGTCTATACACGCTTACAAAATTCAAAAGACGCAAGAACCGAAACCTGCTGACCATTTGGAGCGCTGTACATTCGTCAATTGGGTGCATAAGCAAAGACAAGCCGATGAAGATTTTTCGCCAAAAACAATCCTCTTTAGTGAAGAAGCCCATTTTCATCTTGGTGGATTGGTTAATTAGCAGAATTATCGCATTTGGGCTGATGAAAATAATCTTCATGTTGGGCTGTTCCTTTTGCTAAAAACCCATGCATTTCGTCTTCTTACAATTAATATTTAAACATATTCTCACTTCAACCTTTTGAAACATTAAATTCAGATAGATACCTTATTTATCAATCAACCCTCGTAATTTCGTTAAGCTTGCACTAATTCTCATGGATAAGCATGACTCTATCTTTCTCCAGCGTTCGGTTAAATAGAAAGACACTGTAATCTCTCAAATCACATAGTCGTACCCAACTCATGATTAGGGAAGCATTGCTAATTAAATATTATTTGCCCGCCATCATTGTTCTTTTTTTAAGCAAATCATCCACTAGCAAGCATGGAGTTACAAAGAGTGAGAATAAAAAGAAGTGTTTGGGAAAAAAGGTAAAGATCAAGTGTTGTTCATGATGACGTTATCTTCGAAACATAGAATCCAGAGGTTAAAGTGAATATTTGCAAAAACAAATTGAAGCTTAGTTCAGGTTAGCAGTGGATATCCCATTTAAAGTAACAAAAAGTTCTTCCTTCTGTTCCTCTTCGCCTGACAAGCTGGCACTGGACATTCGGAGAGAGTAAACAAAATGGCCGCCTTTATACACGACGGACTGAATATTCTACGTCTTCTGATTGGTTAACCTTCTATTGGTGGACTATAAAGTGAGTCAAGTCATCTGGGCTGGCTCACTAGTAGTCTAATGTATCCAAAAATTGTAACATCAAGGTCAAGGCATCAGAAGATGTCGATTGACATTACATTTGAATATTTCAAGATTATAGCTATCAGGGAAGTAAGCGATAGGAGGGGAGTTCCATTGACGAGAAGTGCGAGATAAGAAGCTGTTGGAGAAGAAGAGATGGTTGCATTTAGTCGTTTCGACAGTGAAAGATTGGGACCGAGATGGCAATACTTAATTTCATGCAGTTTGGGAACCAATGAAAGTAGCTCGTTGAAGTAGTTGCTATGAAAATACTTGTAGAAAAGGCAGAGGGGAGTCACAGCACGTCTGTGAGATAGCGACTCCAGACGGGATGACAGATCAGGACCAACCACGTAGCATATCCGTCTGTGAATGTTGTCGAGGACCTCGAGATGAACAGCGGGAGCACCAGACCATATATGGCAGGAGTATTCCATGCAAGGACGAATGGTTGATTTGTAGATTTGAAGGATGGACTCCGGCGAGAAGAACCTTCTGGCGCGACAGAGAACCAACTTTCCTTGCGGTAGATGAGGCTATAGATTCAAAATAGATGTTCTACATCAGATCAGTGGACAGCGTGAGACCAAACAGGCGCCGAGAAACGCACTCGTGGAGCTGGGCATCAGCCATCTTGATGGGAGGCAGCGAGTGTTCTCTATGGTGGGTAAATGAGATTAGTTTCGTTTTAGAGGCATTAAAGTTTACAAGTCATTTCCTGCCCCAATCAAACACAAATTCGAACTTCTTCCCGAGGCCTACGGCCAGGTTCTTACACTATTTATCGTGTTAAAAGTTTTCTAAAAATAGAAGCCATGCTCAGGTCTACAGGGCATGCATAGCACGTGACCGCCATAAAGTATAAAACACCCGCCGAACATATTCACCACAGCAAAACTACTATGTAGAAACCGCACACAAAAATTCAACATTGAAAAAAACATAATGGCTAGAGAACTAAACGCTTGGAACAATTATGACTATGGACAATTCGTATATTCTTTAACTGAACAAAAGATTAATTAAATCTTCTTAGTCGGCCGTTTTCAAAGAAACATATCTGAAAGACTGGTTGCTACCCAAATACACATGAATATTTATACGGAGCTAAGAAAGTTAGGAAATTGTGGGGTGAAACATTTCCAACGTCCTGAAGGGACACATACATAAAAGAAGAAATATCCAATGGAAATTTTATATATATATATATATATATATATATATATATATATATATATATATTTATATAAATATATATAATAATTTCATATATCCACAAAACCATTTTAAAATTGTAAAGATGCAACTTCGTTTCAGTGCATTTCAACTGTTCGAAATAAGGTGATCCATTTTCGATTCTCAAATTTTTGTCGAA